ATAAAGATTCCGCATGGATAGTAGAAATTGTGTATTATAAATTTGTCAGTACGGAGGATTTTTTAAATTCTTATAAGATTGTAGAAAGGAAATTCAGACGAAATTGCTAAATAAAACTATTATATGTATTTTATAGTTTCCATAATCCTTAATGACAGTATAAGACAGAATGATTCGACACTAGCAGTTTTATCTTTTATCAAATCTTAATTCGTAAATAGAACATTAATTATTAATATATTACAATACTTCAGTTTCAGGAATGAATTAGTTAAATTATCATTATCGAATTAATCAGGAAAGAGTTAAATCTTCTTACTGTACCGAAATTACTCATATAAAACACGCAAATTACGTTATACTTAAATTAACTTTCCTAAGAGAAAAATTGATTACATTTTTATGAAGTAAAATTGATCAATCAATTTTAGAATAAAATGTATTAATTTTGATTTATATGTTCACTCCACATGCACCTCTTGCTTTGTCATTCCCCAATCAGTAAGTGCATCATCCAATTCCAATTAATTAATCGACTGCGTCCAAGCGTTAAATAAGCAGGCTTCTGCTGTTCTTGTTTCGGTTTTCGATACCTGGTACTCGAATGATTCAAAGTCCGCGTGGAGAAGACGACGACGAGTCGTCGCTGCGCGGCGGCAATTTCTCGTCGTTGCTCTACCGATGAGTCACAATCAGTGAGCGAAATGCCGCGCGGGAGCTATTAAACGGCAGTACGCTCATAAGTATAAATCATACGGGATTGTTTTGTTGCTCCTCGACGCTTCTGTCGGCCGCGACCCTGGGAAACATCTGTCCGTTTAACCGAGAGCGGACATACAATGCCGCCAAATTTGGTATCGCGAGCGATTGCACGGATTACGGCCTCGCATGTTCCTACTGTGGGAGTCCGGACTTTGCTTTCCCCGCCGCCTTAAATCGCGCTCATAACTTACCGTTCCTTTTTCAGTCTTCTCCAGATATCATATACAACACCTTTTTATCAAATTCTGTTAACAATACAAATCTGTATATTTCTACTATGCACAATAATTTTTTAAGTTCCTTATGAGGTACAGAAAATACAAAACATGCGTGTGATGCATAATAATATAAATTATCGCAGTTTCAAAATTCTCATGCCAGCGATGCTTGTCGATCCGAAAATCGTTCAAGCGAAAGGTCGAATGATACACGATTGCAAAAGCATCTAGCAATCTTAATTGACTCGGCAGACAGACGAATTTATTGGATCGATTTTGGGATGGATCTCAGATTAGTGTTCGCGCACAAGCGTGTCGGTGATGATCGGCCGCGAGTTCTCGTGCCGTAAAATATTTGGCACGTCGTTGTCGCATCCGGTCGACGCAAGAGTAAAGAACACAGGTACCTACCCACACGTGCATAAATATTCATGACGCATCGCGCGATAAAAATCGACGTATCTCCCAGCGCGCGACGAGGATGATTTTTTGTTGATCGATTATAATTTTCGACTCGCCTATTCCCGAAGATGAATTCCAACCCTTGGATCGTAAGCGTAATACTCCTTTTTCTTGGTCCACGAAACGCCAACGTAATTACTCGAAGGGAGCACTCGGTTGACCCATCGCCGATCGAAAATGCGGCACGGGTGGCATAGGCTATCTAATCATCGGATTGGACACGCCGGGCCTGTTAATGAGCAAACAGATGAAACGACGCCGGCGTAATCGCGTTTTTAATTAACTTTTTGCAATCGCCTCTCTCTTTAAAGAACGATCAAAGAAAACAGCAGTCGTTGCGGCTGTTTCGGTACGTGAAACACCGGAGAAGAATATTTGCGCGGCATAATCGAGGGATAATTTAAGCCGATAGTGCAGATGAACCGACTGGCATGCATCGCAAAGTAAATCTCGTCAATGTTTGCACAATGTATTCTTCATTGCTGTTTGTTTCTTCTTTTGCATTTGGCAAACGGTATTTCATTTTCGATCACGTGTGCTCGGTGCTTCACTCTGCACTCAGCTTGTTTTCAATTTCGCATTCTCAACCATTCAACTCCACTGTTTTCATTGCCAACACATATCTTTAGTCAATGAAAATGACTTGGTGAAATATTTTTATTGGCGTTAATTAGATTTTAATGGAGTAACGATTGCATATCTTTGAATTCATGTATGTAAACACTATTTATCTGGTTATTACATCTTGTATTTACTCTGTACTTTATAACGTTGAATATTAATTGTCGACAGTAAGTCAAGTTCCTACTGTGGGAGTCCGGACTTTGCTTTCCCCGCCGCCTTAAATCGCGCTCATAACTTACCGTTCCTTTTTCAGTCTTCTCCAGATATCATATACAACACCTTTTTATCAAATTCTGTTAACAATACAAATCTGTATATTTCTACTATGCACAATAATTTTTTAAGTTCCTTATGAGGTACAGAAAATACAAAACATGCGTGTGATGCATAATAATATAAATTATCGCAGTTTCAAAATTCTCATGCCAGCGATGCTTGTCGATCCGAAAATCGTTCAAGCGAAAGGTCGAATGATACACGATTGCAAAAGCATCTAGCAATCTTAATTGACTCGGCAGACAGACGAATTTATTGGATCGATTTTGGGATGGATCTCAGATTAGTGTTCGCGCACAAGCGTGTCGGTGATGATCGGCCGCGAGTTCTCGTGCCGTAAAATATTTGGCACGTCGTTGTCGCATCCGGTCGACGCAAGAGTAAAGAACACAGGTACCTACCCACACGTGCATAAATATTCATGACGCATCGCGCGATAAAAATCGACGTATCTCCCAGCGCGCGACGAGGATGATTTTTTGTTGATCGATTATAATTTTCGACTCGCCTATTCCCGAAGATGAATTCCAACCCTTGGATCGTAAGCGTAATACTCCTTTTTCTTGGTCCACGAAACGCCAACGTAATTACTCGAAGGGAGCACTCGGTTGACCCATCGCCGATCGAAAATGCGGCACGGGTGGCATAGGCTATCTAATCATCGGATTGGACACGCCGGGCCTGTTAATGAGCAAACAGATGAAACGACGCCGGCGTAATCGCGTTTTTAATTAACTTTTTGCAATCGCCTCTCTCTTTAAAGAACGATCAAAGAAAACAGCAGTCGTTGCGGCTGTTTCGGTACGTGAAACACCGGAGAAGAATATTTGCGCGGCATAATCGAGGGATAATTTAAGCCGATAGTGCAGATGAACCGACTGGCATGCATCGCAAAGTAAATCTCGTCAATGTTTGCACAATGTATTCTTCATTGCTGTTTGTTTCTTCTTTTGCATTTGGCAAACGGTATTTCATTTTCGATCACGTGTGCTCGGTGCTTCACTCTGCACTCAGCTTGTTTTCAATTTCGCATTCTCAACCATTCAACTCCACTGTTTTCATTGCCAACACATATCTTTAGTCAATGAAAATGACTTGGTGAAATATTTTTATTGGCGTTAATTAGATTTTAATGGAGTAACGATTGCATATCTTTGAATTCATGTATGTAAACACTATTTATCTGGTTATTACATCTTGTATTTACTCTGTACTTTATAACGTTGAATATTAATTGTCGACAGTAAGTCATAAGAATTAAAAATATGGAATTTATTAAATAAATGTTGATCGATTTAGATGTGAAATAATGCTAACAAATAAAATTGAAAATTACATCATATTCTAATTCGCTTTCACTCTCCGCCATAATCAATGGAACCAGTAGGTACTATTGTTTAGCAATTTTTCAGTGGCTCATTCCTCCAAAGGATAATCACCGGTTAGTTCGATGAACAGTAGGCTAATCAGCGCGTTCGCACTATGAAAGCAAAGCTACGACCGACCGGTCTAGGCCAATTTAAATTTTCAGATGCTCTCTAGGCCGTCATCTAGTCGAACGGAGGCTTGATTATACGTCTCGGTTCTCCAAGCGCGCGAGTCGAATTTTTATTAGCCAACTACGTACTACTACGAATCTGCATAGAAGTCCGCTGGGTTTCACAAAATGTTGAAAAATAATTCGATTAAAATGCATATGAGGGAGAAGCGGCATGCGCAATCTCAGTGCACGATGATAGAACGGGCCGATTAACAACATCGAGACAAGAACACCCGAGCGGAATTCGAGAACGAAACTAATTCGTGTGATGTCCAAGTTTTGTTGCTCGGCTACCCTCGGTTTGATACTTGCGATTCGAATGCTCGGTCACGATTTAAACACGCCCCTTTTCGAATGCTTCTGTGCGATGGTTCATTTAGGTGAATGGGGTTGAGATAGTGTTGTGAATAAAGATTGCGCGGTTAATCATTTTAATAGGAAGGGCTACGAAATTCGGTTTAGTCGAAGTCAAGATTAAATTCGTTCAAGAGATATCATCATTATCTGCCATCTCTTATGAATTTATAATTTAGGGTAATAATAGTCTCTTGCGATAAATAATAAATAAATAAAAAATATTTAAACAAAATTTGCTTCTGTACTTTATTTTTTAAGGTGATGGTACAAAAGTTCCACATAAAAATTCACAATTTAAATATCACTCTTGGAATAACCTAATAAATAAATGTACCGTAGGACATATTTCCATAATCGCGAATAAAGCAGAAGGCGAGGAGACACGTTAAAGGGGAACGATTCGAAGAAGCTTGAGCACTATTTATACGAATTCGTCATGGGAAAACGGTTCGTGATAGCGATGCATCAGCTGGTGGCTCAAAGCGGCTTTCACCCCGAAACGGAGTGACGATCGCTGGTTATTATTGGCGCCAAAGGGCGCCCACGCACGTGCGTAAGTGAGCGCAGCCCGCCACGCGATCTTTGGCATCGGCTCAGGCACCGGGCGCATGGCTAGAGACCGGGGCGCGAGTCGAGGCTAATTCGTTTTTCTGCTTATACCCTCGTTCGCGGCCGCGAAACGTACGACTTTGGCGGCCGCCCAACCGAATGAATTATAACGTAGACCGCCGCGCCGTGCCTGATCTCTTGGCACAGGGCAACACCTAATGTCTGACGCGAAACGTTATAAATTCTCGCAACGCTTAACGCGCGATAAGTCCGCCCCGGGAAGAAGTAATGTCGGGTAACGAACGATAAAGACGATCCCAGGTCTGTATTTGCGTTCAAGATTATTGGACTGTGAATTGATTTCTTCTTACACAATATTTCTTTTTATAGAAACATAGTAATTAATATTGGAAGAATTATATTATAATAATTAAGGAGTGCATCTTAATAATCTCGTAAGAAGAATGATTTACAAATTTCTAAAATGCAGTGAAATGATTGATAAAAAAATTATCAAAAATTCTTTTTTCTTCCATACGCTTCCGTCATTCCTCAAATTATTTCTTAGAATGCAAAGCTGCATTTGTAAAAATTATTAGCAAGCA